GGGCTCCTGGGCTGCCAGAGGGATGTCTGACTGCCAGTTTAGGCCCGATCCCCTGGGGAATGGGCCTAAGCCAGCAGGTGGACATCCCCTGAGGGGTCCCAGACTGCGAGAGGGCACAGGTTGGGCTGAGGGACACCCCCGAGTGCACAAATTTTTGTGCACCGGGCCTCTAGTCTATATATATAAGAGGCTAATATGCAAAGTGTCTCCTCAGGAGTTTGATCACTTGCTATGATATGCGCTGACCATCAGGGTGTGGCTTGGAATGAATGAAGGCCCCAGCCAGCAGCCGGAAGGCCCCGATTGGCCCTGATCACCTGCCAGGCCTAGGGATCCCCGTGCATAAATTTCATGCACCAGGCCTCTAGTGCAACTAAAATTTCACACATGGGTAATGAGCTAGGTGTTCACACATCCCCAATTTTTAGGACCCAAGTTTAAGGATAAAACTTGAGCCAAGGAAAGTGGAGAGTGAGATAATGCCAATTATCAGTCTGTGATTAAGCCGGTGAAGCCTTGCGGTGCCTGTTCTCAGAGCCCCTGCCCACTCCCTCCAGCTGCTTCCTGTCTCCACTCCACTGCCTGCCCTTCACCCCCACCCTCGCCCACCCCAGCACCGTTTCTACCAGCTGCTCAGAAGGGGGAAGGAAGATGTTTTCAACCAGCATCTTAAGTTTCGTTCCGATGGCAATGTCATAGAGAGAGGGAAGAATTCTTAAACTGGTTCTCAGGTTCACAGTGCATTTGAATCCAAAAAAATGCACCCAAATGTTCTTGGGGGCAGAACCTCTTCACATACTGGGAGCGACCTGGCTTGTGACTCAGTGTCACTTAGGAGATACTGGGTGAGATGGAGATTCTCTCCCCAGTAATGAAGCAGAGTGACTCATTTGGCTATTTACTGGTGCACACTTTGTAAAAAAGTTTAGTTAAAAACCAGATTTGTGAGTCACCTAAGTAAAAATAACATTAGCATTTTCACCGAATGAGTACTGCTACTCTTAAGCAGTCTTTTCTTTAGATTCTCATTCCCCTTTCAGATGTGTGTTTATGTCTTGAAGAATGTGCCTCCCACCATTTGCATGGAAGAGAAGAGAACCACAATAGCATGTGGATTAGAACCTGCCTCGAACCTGTACCTCCTCTAGTTTCTGCCTCTCGGTCAACAGCACAGTAATCAGGCCAAAGCACCGATCAGTCTCCGTGACTCCTTCCTTCCCCTCACTACTCACAGCCAATCTATGATTGAGTCCCATTGATGCCACCTCCAGCATCTGTCTGAAATCCATTCCCTTCTCTCCACCTCCTCTGCCACCACCCCAATCTTAGCCACTGTCTTCTCTTAGACCATTGCCATATGCTCCGTACCCCTCCCACTTCCTCTCATGCTTTTCTCCAGACCATTCTCCATATAGTAGCTGCTCCAGATTTATCACCTGCCCCCCCCCCCCAAATTAAACCCAAATGTCATGGCTTCCTATTGCTCTTAGAATAAAACCAAGCTTAACAATGGCTTACAAGACCCTGCATAATCTGGCTCTTAATTATCTCTCCAGCCTCATCTCAAACTCTTCCCCTTTCCTGGCTGTGCTACAGCCCTCCTGCCCTCCTGGCCTCTCTCTGTTTTTTTTCCTAAAGTATTTTAATTGATTTCAGAGAGGAAGGGAGAGGGAGAGAGAGCAGAAACATCTACAATGAGAGAGAACCATGGATAGGCTGCCTCCTGCATACCCCTACCGGGGATTGAGCCCACAACCCAGGCATATGCCCCGACCGGGAATCAAACCACGACCTCCTGGCTCACAGGTTGACACTCGACCACTGAGCCACGCCAGTTGGGCCTGGCCTCTCTTCTTTTCCTTCCACATGAAAAGCTCCTTTCTGCCTCTGGGCCTCCACACTGTCCCAGTCTGTGGTACTGCCTCGTTCAATGGCTGACTCATTTTCCAATGAGTCAGAAGCTCAATGTCACCTTCCTCATACAGGCCTTCCAGACCACTTATCTAATCTTTGTTTATTTGCATTATACTGGTAGTCCTTATCACATAACCAGAACTTTCTGTTTAATTTTTTAAAATTATTTATTCTGTCATTCTCACTAAAATATAAGCTCCATGAAAGTAGAGACCCTGATTATCTACACTAATAAAAGACAAACATGCAAATTGACCATACCTTCGCTACGTCTTAAGCCACGCCGACCAGCCAGTCAGAGTGACTATATGCAAATTAACCCAGCCAAGATGGCAGCTGGCAGCCACGGAGCTGGAGCAAGCAGGAGGCTTGGTTGCCCCAATGATGGAGGAAGCCAAACTTCCCACTTGCTGCGGCGGGCTCTGAGCTCCTCTCAAAGCAACAAAGTTTCAATTATAGAAGGTAAATAAACCCCAGATACCTGCTTTCAGCTGGCTGTGGCCACGGAGCTGGAGCGAGCAGGAAGCTTCCCTCCTATCTGCCCTGGCCGGCTCTGAGCTCCTCTCAAGGCTACAAGGTTTCAATTATAGAAGGTAAATAAATTTATAATCCCATTGTCCCCTCATCCCCCCAGTCTTGCCCTCATCCTCACCCCCTGTTGTCTGCGTCCATCCATTATGCTTATAGAGCCTGCAACCTTTTGTGCATTATAGGGGACCATCAAGAAAGTGAAAAGACAAGCCACAAAATGGTAGAAAATATTTACAAGTCATTTATCTGATAAGGATCTTATATCTGGAATATATAAAGAACTCTTACCCAGCCCTTGTGACTCAGCAGTTGAGCATGGACCCATGAACCAGGAGGTCACAGTTTGACTCCCGGTCAGGGCACATACCTGAGTTGCGGGCTCCATCCCCAGTAGGGGGCATGCAGGAGGCAGCCTATTGATGATTCTCTCATCATTAATGTTTCTATCGCTCTCTCCCTCTCTCTGAAATCAATAGAGACATATTTTTTTGTAAAAAGAACTCTTATAACTCAATAACAAAGGATCAACAGCCCAAATAAAAATTGAGCAAAGGACTTGAATATACATTTCTCCAGAGAAGATGTACAAGTGGCCAGCAAGCACATGCAATGAGGCTTAGTCATAACGTGATACACACTCCATTACCATTAACCGCACGCGTGCACACACACACACTAACCACTGTTGACACGGATGCAGAGAAATTAGAATCCTCAGATACTGCTGCTGGGAATGTAAAATGATGCGGCCCTGTGGAAACGGTTTGGCAGTTCCTCAGTAAGTCGAATGTAGAGTGACCATATGACAGCAATTCTACTCCTAGATTCCTACCCAGGAGAATTGACAACAGGTGTCCAAACAAGAACTTGTACAGAAATGTCCATAGCAGCTGTATGGACAATATTTAAAGGTGGAAACAGCCCAGATGTCCATCAACAAGTGAATGATTAAACTGAGTGTGGTCCGTCCACCCAATGGAATACTATTCAGCCATAAGAAGGAATGAAGCACTGACACCTGCTCGGCCTGGCTGGACCTTGAAGAGAAGCAGACCTGAAAGGCACAGTGTGTATGATTCTGTTTATATAAAGTGTTCAGAATAGAGAAATCCATAGAGACAGACCGCAGATTAGTGGCTGCTAGGACAGGGATGGGAACATCGGCCCGCGGGCCCTCTAAGGCCCATGAGATCCTTTGGTCTGGCCCTTCCAGGGCATTAGGTGTGAGTTAATTAAATTTTTGACCAAACATAGCAGACTAATTTTTTAAATATATATTTTTATTGATTTCAGAGAGGAAGGGAGAGGGAGAGAGAGATAGAAACATCAATGATGAGAGAGAATCATTGATCAGCTGCCTCCTGCATGCCCCACACTGAGGATCGAGCCCACAACCCGGGCATGTGCCCTTGACTGGAATTGAACCCGGGACCCTTCAGTCCGCAGGCTGATGCTCTATCCACGGAGCCAAACCAGCCAGGGCCAGGCTAATTTTTAAGTTGATAGTTTTGTATGGCCCGTGAATGATGTTATAAATACCCAAATGGCCTTTGGCAGAAAAAAGGTTCCCTAACCCTGTGCTGGGAGTTGAGGCAAAGAAATAATGGGGACATGGTTTCCATTTGGGGTGAGGAAAAGGTTCCGGAGCTAGACAGTGGTGGTGAGTGAACAACACTGAGCGTACTTAGTGTCACTGAACTGCACACTGTAACATGGTTACAATCATACATTTTATGTTCTGTGTATTTATCACAATAAAAAAACAGCGCGGTTATATTCAGATTACATTATCTGAAGGGATGGAATAGATACACCGTTAAAATCAACCCAAACAAACTTCTCACTCGGTGTAGTTCTGGGAAGTATAGGGCCTTTAGGATGGGAGGAGCCCGCAGGGTGATTGCTCATGCCTGTGTTGTACAGTCAGTTTGTTAAAAATATTTGCCCATTTTCTGGTGACCACAGATACTAGAATTATTCGTTCTGTTACACGAGTGTTTCTGCCAAGAGGTTCCTAGGGCTCTCGGACTCACTAGCTGGGCCCTGACGCTGAACTCAAACAGCAGCCTTGAGGAAGCCCGGCCCCTCTGACTCCCTGGGACTCACAAAGCGTCCACGTCCTCACTGCTTTCCGTGTCCAGAGCCACTGGCACTTGGGCCATAGCACGTTGTGTAAACCCATTAGCCTACATGTTCAGAGAGTAGATGGTCTGGTGCTCCCCACACTATCGATCACTCCAAACATTCGTGTGCAGACCGCGGAGACGAAGACTGAACTCTCAAATCGCTGTGTGTCCCGTGAGCTCTGCACAGACACCTTACCAAACGCACCTTTCACATATCATTTTAATGAAGTCGCCACTCATTGCCATGTAGCATTTCCTAATGATTTTACTTAATAAAATATTTGCTTGTAGGGCGGGGAGGGGGGGGAGGAGAATTTTCCAAAAAGTGGGAAAGCATATTTTAAAACAATTTTTCAAATTGCAATGTCCATGACAATGTCAGAGTCCTCTCCAGCTCTGCGCAGGGCAGTGGCTCGAGGTCCTCCAGCGTCACAGCGTGGCGGGATTGTGCTTGAAGAGGTACTCTGCCTACAAGTGGGAGAAAGAATAGAGGCAAGTCAGCAATGAGAAGGCACTTCAAGATACTTGTGGGCCACATAGTTGTACTATGAATGTGCACAGTGTAAATATAAAAGTGGACAAACCTTTTACTTTCACATGAGTAATAAAAATCTTCTTATAGCTAAGTGCAATGAGCCAGCCAGAGAAAGACAAATACCACA